TATAGTAACTTCGAGCACCTCACCTCCAGTTCGCAGTGCACAGCATCTGTCGTTATTGCCTCCCGATACGTTCGATGCTGTAGAGGGCAGGATGACAGCGAAACTAAGTGTACCGTATTTGTCCCATCAGGTTTTGACTTGTAATTGGAAGACCGTGATCAGAAAGGAAATTGTGCGATTTACTTCTACTCCACGGATGCTGGAGAGAAATGGATGCCGAAGCCACCGAGAGGCCTGGGGAATTTTATTCCATTGTAGTTGCAAACTTTGCGGGACCGGTACATATCAAGTCGAGAATGGTAGGAACAGCGAGGCCATCGTCGCATAGCATTACTTGCTCCAAACGTCGTCACATGCGAGAGCTGTTACGCGTAGTGTGATACTGGCGGAAGGTTGCTTGAGCGATCTTGCGCTGTCATCACGCGAAGCGGAGCCGAACCTTTTTCTTGCCAATGTCCAAGCCTATCTATCCGCCTACTGCAACTTTTGTGGCTTGTGTCGATGTGTACGGCGTTCCTTGGCCGTTGGATCTGACGGCGCGTTGCCTCGGAACTTGTTTGGTTCCAAGCCAGCTCATTGGTAGAATCGCGCGCTTCCAATATCGATGGTGCAAATGCGGTCCTTGAAATTGTGTTCATGTTCAGGTGCCTCGCGGGAAGTGTTGAGATGCCACGCGGTAACATCGTAAATGCCTCGGTTCTTTCCATGCATGCGCCGCGATTGGTGACGGCATACGAGTTTCCTAGGTATGGTGGTGTTGAGGACTTAGGAGCCACACAACATTGTGGTCGCGGCACGCGTCATGGATGCATCTACGAAGCTGAGATTTCAGTGTCGTTGGCTTGGAAAGTCGAATCCATAATTGCCTCGGTCATTTGAGTAGCAACTCAACGCTGATTGGAGAGTTTATTGGGAAGCCAGAGTCTTGGGAAGGTTACCGATTAGGCTCCCAAGCACCGGGTTACTATGCAACGATCGCCGTGTTCCGAGCTTCTGGTTATGGGTGCATGAGATCTGGTTCCCAAGGAATGGTGAACCGATATGGAAAGGAAGAAACGCATCTCGTAGATACAGACAAACTGGGATTTCTAGGTGCGTAGAGTATCGTCTTAATCCCTAACCATGATTGGGGTTTATACCTTCAATAAGCATCCGGTTCGAACAATCAACAAGAACATCCCTTGCTTTAATTAGACACGCGAAAGTGGAACGAACTCGTGCAGAGCGTAGATACTGGGCGGTGTCATCATGCCACGTCTGTGATGCTGTGCACCGGTAGACACATGCACTGCATCCCTTGCTGTCGGGCCTAGCGACGGATACTGAAGGAGTCATAAGCGAGCGCTTGTGATGATGGCAGGTTCGGGACAAGATTGGTGGAGCCTGCTGGTCTAGACTAGAGGCACCGTCAATTAGCGAGTCGATGTGTTGAAGGTTTCGCTTTCGGGTGTAGAGCATTACATGCGGCGTCGTTTTCTCGCCAAAGCCCCACACATTCGCGGCTTTGTAATACAGTACCAGATCTGATGTCCCTGTAAAAGCTGGAGCAGTTCTGCTGAGCTGATACAATGTGAGACTCCTGGGTTTGCGCCGCAGTCCAAGCCGCTGGCTACCGGGTCCCCCGCGGAGGTAGGCGTGCCGCAAGCGTCTGCAAAGGAAATCTTCCTCAGCGTCAAGCATCGCGAGAATGATCAGAATGACGCCGACAACAGCCTGCCAAGGCGCCGGAGGCTTGGAACGGGATATCAGTGCCATTGCCCCAAGCTTCAATGCGGCTCGAACCACACACGCCGCAAAGCAGGTCGGAGCAGTCTCCCACCTGGGGCAAGCCTGAAAGGTGGGATGTGTCCATGTGGAGTTCCTCCAGCGTCAGGAACGTGCCCGCTTACCCCGCGCGTGTCGTTGAAACGTGGTGACGCTGATCGCTTGATAGCTGGGTCGCACAACGTGAGGTCGAACAAAGAAAAGCACGCCAGTCGGGCCATGCCGAATCTTCAGCTCTCGTCCCTAGAAGTAGCTTTGCCATGGCGGACGATAAGAACGGGCGGCCGGCTCGTGGGAAGGCTTCGCTCGCAGGTCATCTGGCGTGTCAGTGGATCCGGAAGCCACGGCGGTTTTCGCTAGCATGCGGGGTCTCCACACGCCAAGCCTCTCCCCAGCTTTCATCGCCTTCGCGTTTTCGCTCCTTCCCGCGGGTGGCCTGCTTTGCTGCTGATGGCGTCGTATCGTCCTCGATGAGTATCCACACGCTGGATGAATGAGTGGTGAATCCCCGAGCCTCGGTACTTTGCCTGCGGGATGCCTTCCCAACACGCCCACTTCACTTGGCAGCGTCCAGGCGGGGAGGCAAACGGCAGGTGCTTTTTGACATATAACGCGTCTATCGTGTGCGACTTCCGTGCTCCTACCCGGACAACCCACCTTCACCACCTACTGCCCTAGAGGTCAACACCTACCCTACGCGCCCCAACAATGGCCAACCAAGTGGCTGTCATGCGTGACGACGACGCGTTCGAGAAGAGACCCGTCTCTCTTAGGGAGAATGTCGACGGCTCCCAGGACGGTTCCGGCTACGAGTGCGAGTTCAGCGAGCGCGAGCAGAAGAAAATCATCCATCGCATCGACCGACGCCTCGTCGTAACCGTGGGAGTGCTCTACTGCATCAGTCTGATGGACCGCACCAACCTCAGTGCCGCTGCCATTGCTGGGTTCGTGAACGACACGTGAATTTGCGCGTCCTCAAGACTAACGGCAAGTAGTATGACCGTTGACCTCAAACTCGGCCTCCTAGAGGGCTCAATTTCACGCTACTCCATCGTCACCATCGTATTCTTCGCGTCCTACATCGTCTTCCAACCCCCGGCAACCGTCATCTGTCGTTATCTCGGACCTCGCAATTTCCTATCGGCTATCGTTGTGCTGTGGGGCGGTGTCATGATTGGCATGGGCTTTGCCGATAGTTACGGTACCATGTCCGCGCTACGAGTCCTCCTGGGAATCCTAGAAGCTGGCTTTTTCCCGAGCTGTGTCTACTTGCTGTCCACCTGGTGTAAGATCATGCTGGCCCTTGGATCGCCACAATTTGCTAAAACCCCTCTTAGATACTCGGTTTGATATCGGAAAGCGATACTCATGCTTCTACATCCTTGGAAGTTTGGCATCTGCCTGCGCCGGTATCCTCGCTTACGGCTTGATGCAACTGAAGGGACAGCAGGGCCTGAACGGTTGGCGCTGTAAGTCATCGCCCGGTTACGCCTTCATGCGACTCTGCTGACGTTGCATCTTCCAATTAGGGATCTTCATCATCGAAGGCGCGCTCACATGCTTCCTTGGTATCGTCGGTTACTGGGCTCTGGTTGATTTCCCTGACAAGGCGCATAAGTCCTGGAACTTCCTGACTGAGCGTGAAGCCATGTTCATCATCGACCGCGTCAACAGGGATCGTGGTGATGCTAGGCCAGAGCCATGGTCCATGGCCAAGTTCTTCAAGGGTGGTGCTGACATCAAAATCTGGGGTTTCGCGATGGTAAGCCCCCAGATGACCAATGATCCCCCATTCGCTGACGAGTATAGATATTCTTCAACACCACCACAGTCACATACGCACTGGCCTACTTCCTGCCTATCATCCTGACATTGAACATGGGCTTCAGCACCGGCGCTGCCCAGTGCCTCGTTGCTCCTCCTTACGCTTTTGCTGCCATCGTCATGTACACCACCGGCTGGCTTGGAGACAAATACCACCTTCGCGGACCCATCATCCTGTTCAACATGGTTCTCTGCCTCGTCGGCCTGCCCATCATGGGTTTCCATTCCAACCCTAACGTCAGGTACTTCGGCGTCTTCTTGACTACCGCTGGCGCAAATAGCAACATTCCTGCGACGATGTCATACCAGGCGAACAACATCAGAGGCCAGTGGAAGCGCGCGTTCTGTTCTGCCATCTTGGTCGGCATGGGTGGTGTTGGTGGTATCGCTGGAGGTCTCGTTTTCAGGTATGTATCTGCAAACTGCATTCCATCGACCGTGCCATTTTAATATCGAGTAGGGAACAAGACAAGCCCGGATACGAGCCAGGACTGTATGCCTGCATTGCGTGCTGCCTGCTCACAATCGTCATTGTCGTTCTCATAACACTGAGATCATGGAGCCTGAACAAGCGTGCGGATCGTGGTGAGCTCGAACTAGAGTACAATGATGTATGTCTTTTCAACCTTCTACTCATGTGGCAAGATGTTAACGTACGCACAGGATGGCGACCAGAAGGGCTTCAGGTATACTTACTAGAGCTGCACCAACCGGATTATCAAAGCATTGGTGGTTCTGTACGAATTCGAGATGCCACACCAGACGATCGTCTTCTTCACACGGACTCTTCTCCGGCTTTAGAAAGCATCCCGATATTAATGAACTCATGCCCCATTGTTCACTGCCTTGATTGATTGTTCTCGAAGCAACGTGAACGTGAAAGGACCTTGGACTGGGTAGCCGTATAAGTCGTGCGTGCGCAACCAGGCTCTTATTATACGGTGTTTGGACAGCCTCGGGATCAGTAATCATGTTCTCCTTGGTATACAAGTACGCGTCACTCGCTCTTCTTGACACGACTTTATGCGCCGCCGAAACTAGCGTCATGAGGGCGTTGGATGGCGTGTGCGAACGCGCTTCTTATCTGGCACGTCTGGGTATGTTGGTGGCACAATTTTCGCGTCTTGGCACGTGCACGCCTGTCAGATTTCAATTTGAACTCCAGGGTCTTACTGGACGCTGAACACGGCAAAGCCCACAACTCGCATTTCAATAAAGCATATAGGCTAAGTGCTGTTCAGCGCGCTCCCTGTAGCTGGCTCTACCTTCTAGGGACAGCTCACAGTCTTCCAGAGTCCTCCTTCGAGCTGTATAAAACATTCACTATTGCTGCCACCGAAATCACCGCTCACAAACACTTTGCGCAAACTTAGTAGAGCTCACAAGGTCTCGTAGAGGGAGAAACGAACCTACTAATACAGCAGCATACGCAGCAGTGGCAGCGAAGACTTCTGCTCGTCCTGCGTTCGTGCAAAGCCTCACACTCAGTGCAAATAGCAATGTGTATACGGCTATGAGACCCAGCTTTGCGTTTGGGTTGCTCAAAAAGTAGAGGCTGACAATCGCGCCAACTAGCAAAACTGCAGCGAGCACCATGCTTATGGCGGCCACAACCTGTGCGACGAGTGTGTCATTATATCTGTTTGATCTGTCGAGTTCCTCGCGTGGTGAATGCTTGGTGAAGAGCCAGTGGTTCCTCAGCGAACGAGACAGGTAATCTTGGTTGGAGGGCTTCTGAAGAGCCACCAGGTCTTGTGTATCTTCCAGAAACTTGCTCGCGCGACCAAAAATCAGCTTCTTCGAGGAGACTGGCATGTTTTGAATCGCGGTTCCATTGAGATAGTCTTTGTAGGTGGTCAAGATTCGTTGACTGGGTTTATCGAGTTGGGCGACTTGAGCGCGCAAGGTCAGCGCTTCGTCTGGCCAATGAATCAGCATGAAGCCTAGGATGTGATGAAGCGACCAACAGTATTCTTTCAATAACCCCTGCAATTCTTTGAGCTTGACTTGAAGCTGCAATTCGAGGCTGTTGGAACCGGGTATCGCCCTTTCGCACAATACTTCCCACCGCTGAAGCGACCGGCGGGTCTCCAGATCGGCTGATTGCCTGATCTCAGATTCTAGACCTTCGATCTCATCTCCGAGTGTCACCATCTGACATTGCAGCGACAATATGTTGCGCGCTGCAAGTACCCCGAATTTGCGAAACACAAGCGGCTCATCGTCAGGATCTCGAGCGATCCATTTGGCTAGCGATGGGTAGCCATTTCTGACGTCTGCGAGATCGATAACAAGAGGCGAAGTAGATGGGGCCATGACGTTGTGGCTATGCTGAAGCCTTGAACGGTTGGTTCGATATCATGTGCTGTACCAAGGTGACGATGGTTCGTTCGCAAAGCAGTCATGTATTAAGGCGGAGTAAATAGGCCAGACCAAGCGATGCTTATGTCCTCAGGTACTTGAGAGTAATTTGACAGATTTGTCGGAGAGCAAGTTGAAGCTCGGATGAGCTAAGCCCATGCATTTATGGTGCCGGTCACACAAACGTGGCGAAGCTCATGCACCTTGACTGCGGTCAAGTTTGAGGGGCGGCCTCAGCCGCCTCTCCACATAAATCCTGCGTGTCTTTACCTCTCCACGTCGAACGGCACACGAATCTACCCACGACCAGATTTGCAACAAAACTACCTGAGTGGAGTTTATTCACCCACCAAAACATCTAAAAGTCATCCCAACCAAAACCACAGTATCAAACCGGGGTGACACAAGACCAAGCATTACTTTGAGCTAAATCACCCACGTTTCACTGTAACTTCTCACGTATGTGAGGCGTCCCCGCGCTTGAAAGATTCGACAGCAGCTGACCAGGTTCAGATCAAGTACCAGAAACGTCACCATGAGCCTCAACATCTCCCGTCGCAAAGTCGATATTTTGATCAATATGGATTCACCCGAAAACGAAAAGTTCTGCGAGATGACACGTCGTAGCTGCGAAGACGACCGAATCGATACCCTGCCTCTTCGAGACCGACGTGTCGCCCGTGAGGTAGAGACGAGGCGGCGTGCGCAATGGGACGGGGAACAGGCGTTGGGACAGGCTAGTCCGGGGATGGCGCTGTTAGTTCAGTAGCAGAGATGCATCGTTAGGTACTCACCTACCAAGGGTATAAACACGCCCTTGATACCCGAAGGACGGAGTTATGGGTCCGGAAGGCTCATGATTAACGGGAAAGACAACATCAGAATGGGAGCCCCGGAAAGCATGTACAGGAGCGGGCGACAGTGTTGTACACAAAGCACGTTCTGCGGCTTGTAATCTAGTATTATATACACTTTAAAGGAAATGAAGTGGTATTCAGCGAAAGATCAAAATGTCAAAATGTGTGACAACGCCTGCCCAATGCCAACGGCATAGCAAAAGGCTGGAAATGCGACGCCTTCACCACCCAAACTCCGTCCGTCGCTATGCAAACGCTCCAAAGAAAAGTGAAGAGAAATACTAGATCGAGAACAAACAGCCTACAGCAAAGATGGCCTGCTACTTGGCTTCATACTCGTGTTAACGAAGACTGGTCGCTAGTAAGATTTGTATTTCTGCACAAATGTTAGTTCTGTTCACATCACTAGTATAGTAGCATCACTTACGTCTTCAATCTTACGCCTCGATTCGGGATCAAGCGCGTTGCCTACGCCTAGTAACGTATTGCTCACCAGTTTCGTGGTACCGACCGCAGGTCGCAAGATGACAGTCGGTCCATATCGACGCAAGGCCCTTGCGACACCCGTACCGCTACCCTCTTCCATGACGTTTGCAGGAATCGCGATCACCGCGTCACGAGCAGTGTTCCAGTCGCGTTCGAAGTGTCTGACCGCGCTGCGAAGACCAGCGCCCACACCGATCGGCTGGTTGGCGTAGTTCGATACGGCGCGTGGCTCTTCTGTATCGGAACTAGGATCTTCTCCATCCCAGTCGAGAGATTGATGGCGGCTCGCTGAGTCAGTCTGTGGGTTAAGAAACTCCTCAGTGCCTTCCAGCACAGTTTGCGCGCCGATCGCCATCTTCGCACCCAAACGTGCTGCCCCTGACGTTGTGTTCATAGCGAATGCTTGTACACCCTTCCCCAGACTGCGCACAATTCGACCGTCTTTCTTGTACTCGCGCATTGGAACAACGACGAGGTCTTTGAGGCCGGAACCGACATTCACAAAAGGTCGCAGGCCTGCCAGCCCCGATAGTACGCCTGGTAACTGATTGTTCTTGACATCCGGTGACCACACGTCATTGAGAGTCTTGTGAAGTTTGTCGAACGATGTAATTCCGTACAGAATTGCGTGGCGTAAGGTAATGTCCGAGCCGTCGAGGACGAGAAAATTCATGAACTCCGTTGTGTGGCCGGACCGGAGGCCGCGATAGTCCACGCGCTTTGGCTTGTAGTCCAACTTCAGCTTAACCGCCATCACTTCCAACCGCTGAATGAAAGGCTGGTCACCAGCTGGGCTGCTAGCGGGTGCGGAATCATCTTTGAACTCAAAGAAACGCGTGATAAAGTCCAAAGCGTCCTGATCGATATGCAAGCGGAGTGGAAGGATAGACACCTGACGATCAAATTAGCAAGAGCTGGGATGTTCAACATGCATCAGGACTTACTTTAATGACGAGCTCCGAAGCCGCTAGATCAGTGATCGGCTTGACCGTATTGAGTTCAAGATTTATCATCGGACGAATGAGCTCTCTCTTCGCTGGATCGATTGCGCACGTGACAAATTTCTTCCAGGTAGAGCTGGGCATGTGATCGAAAACCTCTAGATCTCGTACGCGGACATTAACGGAATTGACTGTCTCGCCTGTATCCGGCGGAAAGACGACAAGGTCAACTGCGACCCCGCTGAGGGAGAATGCAATCTTTTTGTGTTTACTACGCTCGAGCTTGAGACGACGCCTGGATTTGGTAGTACTTCGAGGTCGTAGAGTAGCTCCAGTCGAGCGTGTCGCTGTCGATGTCGCATAACTGCCCGTCTCGCTGGCAAGATCGTCAATATCATGGTTGATACGTCGGGCTAGAGCTCCTTTCTCGTCCTTCACATCCACACCAATCCAGACCGAGTTGAAGAGGAAGTCTTGCTCAACGAAGTCATCGTCGTCATCTTCTTCTCGTCCCTTATGCCGTCGCTCCTCGGCGCGAGCCTCAACGTCATCCACAGCTTTGCTGATAACGCTCCGTGTTCGAGGCCAGTCATAGCCGTCGTATAAGTTCCAGATAACGTTGACGTCGCGGACGCGTACCTTTAGTGGAGCGCCTGTAACCTTGAACTCATTGGATGGATGATATTGGTTCTTGGCAGAATCCCATTTACGGGCTTTACCCTTTGGTTCAATATTTGACTCTCCGAAGTAGTCGTCGTCAAAATCAAACGCTTCTTCTCCTTGAGTGACTTCGTGCTTCTCCTGGAAGCTCTCAAGGAGAGTTCGATCGCCACGCTGGCGAGTTATAGGCGGTATGGCCAAAGCGCTGAGATCTTCTTCACCCAGTAGACTGTCGCCCATTTCTTCTTCAGTCAGCAGGGGCTGTGAATTGTAGAGTCCACCAACGAAGGTAGGCTCCCTTGGCAGATCATCCTCCATCAAGTCAGCATTGCTCATGAAGTCATCGGCTTCTTCATCTTGCAACAGTCCATCGCCAGTGAATGACTCCATCATTTGCTGTAGCGGTACCATGCGATACTGTTCTGCGGTTGATGGTGGCGTTGGGGGCTGTAGACCGCTCAGAATTGCCATGAGCGTCTGTGTAGAATCTGCGCATGACTCGATAACAAACAGCTCATTTTTGAACTCCACGTCCACTAGCTGTGGGTGTTCCTGTCCATCACCTCCAATATTGACAGATATCTTTGCGGCCGAAATCGAACTCAAAGACACATAGCCCAAGTTTTTCAGCCCATTCAATTGGCCGTTGGCAGAGGGTATGGTAGAGACAGGTCCGTGGTCTTCTTCTAGGCGCGCTATGTCATCTATAGCATGCATCGAAGCCTTGCGGAGGTCGACCGTGACAGAATAGTCGTTTCTTGCTTGCTTACCCGTAACATGCGCTTCCGTGAGGACGAAGAGACCCTTCGAGAGTGAGTTCCGAGGATTGAGACCAATTGCGCAATCCCTCAGTAAAAGATCGACCTGAAGCGGCTGAGAGAGTGCTGTGACTGGCGAACTCGCCTGGGAAGATTGTCGGCTGATGGTCTTAGGAGAGGATGCGCCTGTGACGGTTGCGACGCTCGAGGCCAGGCCTATAGCCAGATCGTCTACCGTGCCATCCTCAGCAATCCCCAGCGCTGCCATAATCGTGCTGACTCGGTATTCAACGCATAAGTTGAACAACTTGACTTTCACCATGGGTTCCATCTCATCGCCCACCATCCTCAGCATGATGACGGGTAGTTCTTCCGATGGGTCTAGCTCCACAACTTCATGAACCAATACTTCTTCGTTGCGCCGAACAGTCGCTTTGCTTACTTCGACAGCAAGCAAAGCAGGAACTCCGACGTGTGCTAACGCGGATTCCTGCAAGATGACTGAGACATCTCCAAGTTTCTCATTCACAGTGACGCGAGCATCCAGCCGTTTCACAGATGCGAGGCTTAGAAGGCCAGGTCGATCATCATCTGGCAAGTATTTGGTGACCTTGGATAATCGAGCCAGCTCTATCCCCAGAGCCTCAAAGGCTTTCATGTGTTCAAGATCTGAAACATGAACACCGATTTCAGCGATTTCAACTCGGAGTACGGAACCTTTCTTTCGCTGACGTAGCAGGGTTTCGATGAGAATATCGTCGTTGTTTTCGTACGGGTTCTTTGATGGCGTGATTAGGGATATTAGCCTAGTGAGATCCTGCTCGCCAGGAGCGAAGAGAAAGTTGATTTCAGTGCCTTTCAATTCTCCAAAAAAAGGTGCAGTCTTGGGGGTGACCTCGGTGTAAGGGCCAGTCAGCTGTGTCTCGGAAACTTTGAGGCGCACATTGCTTTGCCGTACAGCAATGCGCACCGTCGTGGTGTGAAGTTGCATGGAACATGACTTCCCCTTGAGGGCCAAAGATACCTCACCGAGTTTTACGTCGATCTTCGGAGACTTCGTGGGTGGTGATTCTTTGACAGGGGGAGGTAGACCATCACCAAAATGTACACCGCGAGGCCGAGAACGGGCTGGAGATATGACCGGACTTGCGACTGCGCTACTAGAGTTGATGGAGTTGCTCAACTCTAATATGCCGCTGAACCCACCAAATGAGCCCAGCGCGTCGTCTAGTTTCTGGATGTCAAACAAAATG